AATGATGTGATAACATGTTTTGCTGTAAGTTAACAAAATTCTCTGTCAGTGACAAGTTACATTTAAGAATTTTTTTCAAAGTTTATATCTATCTGCTGTACTAGCTCTGGGTTCAAGACTGGTAGCACTTGAACTGGAAGATATGGGACACTTTTTTGTGGGGCTGGTGGAGTGGCTCAAGTGGTTAGGGCACCTGCCTAGCAATCATAAGGACCTGAGTTCAAATCCCAGTAGAAAAAAAGGACATGGATGAAATGATTAATGCAGTTTGACTGAAAACTTAAATAAGTTTTCCCTCATCTAGGGTAGTCCCTCATCTAGGGTAGTATTTCTGGATGTGTTGCATTGTCTACAACCATCATCAAGTTCTTAGCATTTAACCTTAGTGTTTTCCACAAGATAAGCTCAGTACTTACATTTTGAAATATGTTAGAAAGCTTAATAGAAAGTAAGTTGAAATGTAATTTCTCTGTTTAACAGAACTTTGAAAGTGACGAAGTAGAACTTTCTTATGCTAAGAATGGACAAGATCTTGGCATTGCTTTCAAAATCAGTAAGGAAGTTCTTGCTGGACGACCACTTTTCCCACATGTTCTCTGCCACAACTGTGCGGTTGAATTTAATTTTGGTCAGAAGGAAAAGCCATATTTTCCGATTCCGGAAGACTATACTTTCATCCAAAATGTCCCCTTAGAGGATCGAGTTAGAGGACCAAAGGGGCCTGAAGAAAAGAAAGATTGTGAAGTGAGTGATACATGTCTTTTAAATACGGCATCTCAAAATTACAAAGTTGAAGGATTGGGTTTTGGTTTGCATTTTGTTAAACCTGCTTTCAGTGATTTTTCTCTTAGTTGTATTTTTCCTTTATGTGTAGTATAAAACTTTCTAGAAACAGATTCCCTTAGTGTAGGGAACATGAAAATCTAGATAGGCATTTTGTTAGGCTTAAAAAGTGTTCAACAGTTAATTGCATGGTCCCTGGTAATAATATTTTCCATTGTAGGTTGTGATGATGATCGGCTTGCCAGGGGCTGGAAAAACTACCTGGGTCACTAAACATGCAGCTGAAAATCCTGGGAAATACAACATCCTTGGAACAAATACTATTATGGATAAAATGATGGTAAGTAAAATGTTGAAGGCTGGCTTCAGCTTTCAGAGGGGACTGAAGGTCCTCAGTTACTGTATTTATCATTTTTTCCTTTTTACTATCTTAGAGGAGTTTGCCCAACACTAAAATAGGGTACTTAAGTAAGCTCTATAAGGTAAACTGCCCTGCAGTGATGAGTCTTACTTTCCCCATAGATTATTTTGTTGTATTCTTCTATAGATTTTTTAAACTGAATATAGAATGTTGCCTCTTTGCATGCATGTAGATGTAAGCTAGTATTTAAAAGCATAGATTCACAAGTTTGAAAGACAAATTTAATTTTTGAAAACAGGTGGCAGGTTTTAAGAAGCAAATGGCAGATACTGGAAAACTGAACACACTCTTGCAGAGAGCCCCACAGTGTCTTGGCAAGTTTATTGAGATTGCTGCCCGCAAGAAGCGAAACTTCATTCTGGATCAGGTAAGCTACTGCTTTAAGGTTGACAAATGTTAACTGATACTTGATTTGGTGTAGGATTAATGTTTAAAGTCATTAACTTTTTTTTTTTTTTCCTTCAAGACCAATGTGTCTGCTGCTGCCCAGAGGAGAAAAATGTGCCTGTTTGCAGGCTTCCAACGGAAAGCTGTTGTAGTTTGCCCAAAGGATGAAGACTACAAGCAGAGAACACAGAAGAAAGCCGAAGTAGAGGGGAAGGACCTGCCAGAGCATGCAGTCCTTAAAATGAAAGGCATGGCGTTTTTATTGCTACGTTTGTTTCAGCTAGAAATTTTAACACTTTTCCAGCAATACTGTTTTAGGGATTATAGTAGCTCTTGGTAAATGTGTGTTGGTTTACTTTGTTTTCAAGAAAATGTTGCTAAGCCATGAGTAGATAATCTGTTGTAAGAATTAAAGCCATTCAGGAATTGAAAGTTACAGAATTGTAGATATTTGAATTAGGTTTCTAAGTTTAATTTGACGTTAATCCCTGTAGGAAACTTTACCCTGCCTGAGGTGGCTGAGTGCTTTGATGAAATAACCTATGTTGAGCTTCAGAAGGAAGAAGCCCAAAAACTTTTGGAGCAGTATAAGGAAGAAAGCAAAAAGGCACTTCCACCAGAAAAGAAACAGAACACTGGCTCAAAGAAGAGCAATAAAAACAAGAGTGGCAAGAACCAGTTCAACAGAGGTGGTGGCCACAGAGGCCGTGGAGGATTCAATATGCGTGGTGGCAATTTCAGAGGGGGAGGCAAGTTAATTTTAAGTGTACTTATTTCATTCAAGATTGAAGTGAAAGAGAAGAGATTGGGTGTGTAGTGATCTAGCTAAGTTTAACATAACTGTGTTCTTCACATTGGTCTTAGTCTGTCATAGTAAGTAGTAAAATCTTTAGCTGATTCAATTGTACACACCTGGGTTATATAAATTGTTAAAATTAAGCATTAGTTTTTAAACACTTTTCACTAAAAAGTTGTCTGAAATAACAGTCTGTGTAAGTACAATACAATTAAACTTAAGTACGCCTTGTTTTTAGCTCCTGGGAATCGTGGTGGCTATAACAGGAGGGGCAATATGCCACAGAGAGGTGGTGGTGGTGGAAGTGGTGGAATTGGCTATCCTTACCCTCGTGGCCCTGTTTTTCCTGGTCGAGGCGGCTACTCAAACAGAGGGAATTACAACAGAGGTGGAATGCCCAACAGAGGGAACTATAACCAGGTAACGATTTAAGATTCTTGAAGGCACTGATAACCTCAGTAATTTAATTTGTAAAGTTGTAGGTCTATGATGGGAGCCTCAGTAAGGAACTGAAGGAACATGGTGCATTAACATAAGTAACATCAGGTGTAATAAGTAACAAGAAGTCAGGAGGATTTTTCTCTTTTTTTTCTTTTTGGTACTGAGTTTTTTTCTGTTTTTTTTTTTTTTTTTTTTTTTGGCACTAGGGTTTGAACTTAGGTCCTTGCACTTGCCAGATAGGTGCTCTACCACTTGAGCCACTTCACCAGCTGAGGATTTCTAAGGAATAAAAACAATGTCAGAATCCAGCAGAGGGTGCCCAGGGTTTCTGCATTCCTCCAAGATAGTCAGTTGTCAGTTCTTGCCCCTTCCCCTAACCCTAACAAAATGGATACACTGTTTGGTTCAGAGATCTTACCAGGCTTCTTTTCCCCCCATCCTTTTTCATAGAACTTCAGAGGACGAGGAAACAATCGTGGTTACAAAAATCAATCTCAGGGCTACAACCAGTGGCAGCAGGGTGTAAGTAATTTCTTATGTGATTCTGTACATTCATTGTATTGAGTTACAAAAATCAGTCTTAAAGAATCTTGTCCAGGAATTGAAGTAATGTGTTACAGTTTTAGCTATGAACAGGTTGGAGCTGCTGTAATGTTAATATTTTTTAGTAAAGTAATTAATACATATGGTTCTTTTTTACTGCTAGCTTTAATTGTGTAAACTAACCCAAGTTCTAATGTTTCCTTTTGTAATGTGTATTGATAAATAATGGGATATTAAACTAAGTCTGGTTTAGTAGGAATCAAGTAATGACAAGTATAAATTTGTTTCCAGCAATTACTCTGAATTAGATTCATTGTCATTTCCTAAAAGCAGTTTGAGTGGCTTATTGATGTTTTTTTCTTTAAAAAAAAAATTTTCTCTTACAGCAATTCTGGGGTCAGAAGCCATGGAGTCAGCATTATCACCAAGGATATTATTGAATACCCAAATAAAACGAACTGATACATATTTCTCCAAAACCTTCACAAGAAGTCGACTGTTTTCTTTAGTAGGCTAACTTTTTAAACATTCCACAAGAGGAAGTGCCTGCGGGTTCCTTTTTTAGAAGCTTTGTGGGTTGATTTTTTTTCTTTTCTTTTTTGTACATTTTTAATTGCAGTTTTAAAGTGAATCGTAAGAGAACCTCAGCATTGTGCACGATAAGAGAATGTGTCAGTATTTCAGGGTTCTACATTTTATCTGTAAAATGTGACTTTTTTTTTTATCACAACAAAAGTAAAATGTTGCTTTGTACCTGGTGTCTTTTATTAAGAATTTACTCCCCCCAATTTCTCACAGAGAATAACAGTCGGGAGTCATTGTCACACTATAATAGAAATGTTAGCAACCAGATTCATGTAAGGACTAAGTGGTCCTCATGAATTGCATAAGACTCTGTAATGCTCATATTACACTCCATCCTCTCTGTAGTGTGCTGATAGTAGTGGAGGGGGTGAGCTAAATAGTAATTTCTGAAAAAAACTGACTGGGAAGGCCTTTTCTGTTTATTATCACAATGGAATTGGGTGTAATTGGGAATGAAGATGAAACTTGGAACTAAGATGGAGAAGATGGAGTGTATGTAGAAGGGCTGTTAAAAATGTAAAACTCGGTTGCATTATTTGTGGAGGCTCAAACTTGTGAAGGTTAAATACCATAATTTTTCCATTTGTTCTGCATTTTGATTCTGAAAAGAAAGCTGGCTTTGCCCATTTCTTATTAAAAAAAACTTGTTGTAAATCCAGTTGTCTAATGGGATCTATATGAAGTTAGCTCTGTCTGTATGCCCTTCTCCCACAGATACTGTATAACTAGTGTGCTTGTAGTAGTAAGCTCCACCATCTTTGTAAGCTAATGGAATTGTGAGTCACCCATTTATATCTTAATTTTTAATCATGTCAGTTCTTGAATGGGTATCTCCTTAGCCTGCTGATTTCTTTTTCTTTCTAAAGAAAGTGGGTGGAGAAATTAATTTAGACGTTTGTTTGCAATAAAAAGAATTCATTTTACTCTCGTTTTGGGATTCTCGCCATCAAGGTTCAAAATCCCTTTATATAACTCCCAAGAGGAGAGACTTTAAGTGTGCGCTTTCTGGACAGCTTATTCTTTTACTCTGTACTTGGAACATTTAGGTTTTAAAAACTTAAATGTGTACTGACGATTTTATAATATGAATTAAAGTTGAATTCTTCCCTTCCCCTCCCCACAGACTGCTCTTAACATTGAAGGAGGGGAAAAGGTACTGGCTGGGAGAAGTTAATGCTCAGTTTATCATCTTTACAAGATGCTAATGGCTGTCCTCACGTGATATTTTTATATACATGAATGTGATACGAAACATGAAACTCTGGGAACATATGCTTTTAGAAGCAAGCTGTCATGCAAGCCAGTCATTGATTTCACTACTACACATCACTGCTAACTTACTGTAGCTATTCAATAACATTAGATCCCCTAATTGTAATTTTATTGGGTTTGCACAGAACACTTAAATCTTCTAACAGACCCTCACTGTGAAGTGAGGAATCAGGAGTCAAACTGTAGAACTAAAACTTCAGCTTAGTATTTTGGTGTTTTTAACTTCTGGTAAGTTCAGGTCTGCTCTGTTCCTTGTTGGTTAGAATTTTGTTGTAGTTATTTTAAATCAGATTTTTAACTTGAGTTCATACTTCAGGAATTTTATTGCTACAAGCTAGAGTTGAGTTTTAGATGATACAGGTTCAGTTGGAGTTTTTGGAACAGGCGAATTACCATAGAAAAACCGCATAAGGTAGTAGTATCCTTACAGGTTTTTAGCAATTACCGGCTAGCAACTACTGATGTGTTACTTTTTCAATATACATCATGATTAGGATTGCTTATACTAAACTATGGGAAAAGATTCAAACTTGATACTAACCGGGGTTCAGGTTCACTTGTGCCTGTAAAAATCGTGGCTATGCCTAGTTAAAAATCACTTGAAGAATTCATAATTGAAACAGGAAGATAATGGTCAAATAATAGGTGGAGCATTATGCATGTGCAGCCAGAAAAATGGGGAAGGGAAGATGGAACTGATTTTAAAAATGCTGTCTGGAAATGTTAACACTTTGAAACAGTCCCAATATTAATGGTGTTGTCTACACTTCTGAAAAGGAAACAGCCTTAGATTGTGTTTGAGAAATTCAGGAAAGGGGGGATGCACCAAGTAGTAGGCAAAAGGGGAGAAAAATAGGTAAGTTATTTTAAAAGTGAAATGCCAAGTTGTGGGAGAATAAGATCTGAGAGACTGTAGTTTTTGTCAGTCACTTCTCCCTGCCTGCTGTGCCTTCTTCCCCCAAAATGGCAAGCAAAACTACTTCAATTTGAACAAATTCTGACCATAGAAAACTTAATGTGAGATTATTGGTTCGAAAAGTGCTTTCATGAGAAGCTTAAAATGGATGGGGTGAGGATGTAGCTCAGTGAGTTACACCCCTGGCATGTGTGATACCCTGGGCTAAGTCCAGCACTGCTAAAATAAAAGGATGGGGTTTGTCAACTCTGGGGGTACAGTAACATTATTAGGAGGAGGGAAAACAAATTTTCAAGGCTGCAAGATAGGAAGTGATTAAGTACTAAGACTAAAAGTCTTACAGAAAAATTTGGTTGCTGGTGGGTTACATGATACAAACTAGCTTTTGAGGGTCCCTGGCTGTGCTGCCTTAAGAAGGCAGATGCCTTAATAGACAGCAGAATGAAATCCTGAAAAGAATAGTGAGGCATGAGTTAGCCAGAAAGTGACAAAAGGAAGCATTTGTTTTTAAAGCTTGAAAGCATAACCAATAGCATTTGTTTCTACCTAAGGACTAAAATGCCTCATTTGAGGGGGTTGAGTAACATTTTTCTATAATAAGCTCGCTCAGTACATTTTTTTTTTAGACTCTTAGGAATGTTTTAATGGGTTCTGCGCAGAAAAAATATTTTAATAGCTTTGTGTACACTTGAATGTGAAGACGTAGTTGTAGGTTTATGAGAATGATTTTCCTTAGTGAAGTAAAGGGTAAATAATTTCCTTTGTGCACATAACTGAGTGAAACTTGTAGCAGAGGAAAACTGTTTGCTCACCAGTCCCTCCAGTAGTCATTCAGCTGTTTCCCCCGGAAAGGTGAATACAACACACATAACCAATGCCATTTTTTTCCTAAAATGCTTAAGATGGTTTTGAGTGTAAGCTTTTTCTAGAAGCCTGGGAAGTGGAATTTGGAAAACTGGGTTCAAGTTTGAAAGCTTTTAGTAATAGTTAATGAAAGTAAGAAACATAAGTTAGAAGGGACTATTAAAAATAAATTTATTAGTAATGAGAGCCACAGTTTATTCTTAGTGCCTAAGCTTATGGAAACTATGGAAAGCCCTTTCCTTGGATGATTCTTGGCTTGGATTTTCTTGGTCATAGCTGACCATTCCTCAATTTCTATATTAAAATACGAAGATTTTAGATCTAGCCAGTGCTTTGGAGTCATCCCCATTTTGTTTTCTTAGTATTAGTACTTCAGGTACATGTTTGTAAGACAAGCATTAAAAGTACTTTGCCTGCTAACTCATCTTGAAGTGCCTTGTCCAACTGAGGCTTACTGCTAACCTTTATAAATGACTGACAGCTTTGAAGGGAGGGGTCAAAGTAATAGTATGTCCCTTAAGTGTGTTGGTAGAAAAACATTAAAGAACAAGGGGTCCACAATTGATCTTGACAAATGTGTTAAACACTTGTCTGTCTCATGCCAAACAGCAGAAGATACGATTTGGTTGAAATAACTGAAAAAATGTGCACTTCTATTTCACATCCTTGCCAATTGAGTAAAAATACAATGGATTAGTTGTCCTAGGACTTGATTAGTTTATAAGGTATTGCAGACTGGAAAGTAAATATTCATAAAGTCAAAACCAGGGTTGTTAGAAAATGTAACAACTACACATTTTATGAAGACATTTGGGGATGTCAAGTCCAATACTGGGATAACTTGACGTCTGATAGGCCAGGACATTGGTAATCACTGCATGGTTAGGTGAGTTTTTAGGGTCCATTAATGGTCCTTATTAAGACAAGGAACTACATAGTCACCTAATTTGCCCAAGAAGAAAGGGTTTTGCTTTTAAACGTAGTTGCATCTCTGGGTATGTGAAAATTCACAGGCTAGTGTGGAAAAATGTCTTCAGGTCTTTTGCATTTAAGTCATGGCTTGTTAATGGCGTAACACTCAGCACTAGCACAGTGCTTAAGAAGTTATTCAAGGATTGTGGGCTGGACAGCTGACAGCATCCAATACAAATAGTGACTAGTCATTTTTTCCTGCTTTGCCAGTCCCATTGTATAGAAAGAATCAGCTTTGCTCAATGAAATACTTTGTATGTGCAAACACTTGAAACATTACTATAAATTGAGCTTAGCCACCAAGAAGAGATGGCCACAATAGACGGTGAGCCCTTAGGTGTAATCTAAGTGCTTCAAAAGTAACTAAAGCATATGTAGAGAAGAAAAAACAACAGAGCTTATTTGGCTACTTTTGTGAAGAAGATGGGCAGAGGTAACTAAATTTGAGGTTATCTAGTTAAGGGAGATGGGAGAGTCAGGGAGAAGTATAAGAGTAAAAGGCTCCAACATACATTACTTGTTTTTGTGAAGGTAATAAAGCAAAAAACTCTGCTGATTTTAAATTTCATCTCCTTTTCCTTAGTCTGTCCCTGTGAATGTGCTGTGTGGAGGAGTAAAAGGGCCCAACTAAATGTGTTCCAGTGATTCCAATAGGTACTCCAAATTAATTGCTGCTTGTATATTTAACAGTTGTTATGTTAGGCTTCCAGGAGCAACTTCATGAGTTTAAGACTGGCAACCAGATGGACAGATTGTCTTGATTTTCTAATTTGCAAACCTGAAGTATTTTGTGTTTTTTGCAATTGGCAAGTCTATTGCATTATATAGAGTGCAGAATACCTTTCTGTCCTTGGTTTCCTAAAATCCTTTTCTGCATTTTTATAAAATAACAATTTTAGAAAATCTGGAAGATAGATTGAAATCTTTTGGGGTAATAAAGTATAAAAATCAAAGTGAATTTAAAGTTTACAAGATGGAGGGAATGCGGAAACGTTCATTTCCTTGTTACCAGTACAGAGAGAGCATTTAATCTACTCTTACAAGTCTGAAACTATTAAAGACTTTGTAAATTGAAAGAAAATTTGTTCTTCCAGCTAATTAAGTACAGGGAATAATGTTTTAGGTGATAGGGAAGGACTTAGTTGCATTTCTGATAACAATGTCACTTAAATGAAGTATGACTTACGGAACCTAATGGCTTCAAAAGTAGGCAACTTGGGATTTCATAACCTTCCCTGTGAATGTGAGAAAAATTCATAAAGATACAGAGAAACATTTAAAATAAACTTTGAGTTTATGTGGCAAGGAATGTTTCATTTCACATAACTTGTCTTCATGGTATAGTGGAAGAAGCATTTTCTTAGAAACTCATCTTTTAATATGCACAGATTATTTTGTCCAACGAGGGTGTGTCATGATAGGTGGGTTAAAGTGTCCAGGATTATTCCTAGAAAAACAAGGTAACACCTGTTCATTGACCTATATAGTGAACAGCAGAAACTTCCAAAAATACTACTACCTTATTCTAGAAAATGGAAGCATATGGTGAATGCAATGGCTGAAAAGCCCTGACATACCTGCAGTGGGGCAGGAGGATCCTGTGTTCAAGGCCGACCTGGGTTATCAAAAGCAAAACAATATCTGCAACTCGTGTAGTGCTCACATTACAAACTCTGAAATACAATACTTCGAGATTTGTTAAGTTTCCCCATTTAAGAAAAAGTTTAAACATTTCAGAACGGAATTTAATGTATGAGAATAAGCTGTGTTACTAAAAGACCACTGTTTTAGGTGGTAGTGGATACTGGCTTGATAATGACCTGATGATTACTGGACTATTTGAAGATGCTTCAAAAAATTATTCTAGAGAACCATTATTTAAATCTGAATTACAGAAATCGTTATAACTTCTCTACTTTACTCATTAAGGTCTGCTTACCCAAAGAATAGTGTATATTTAACTTGACTTTTAAAGGGGTGCTTTGACCCCTGTCACAGATTTTTATCTAGGAATAGAAGGATCCAATCCCTATTTGATCCCTAGCTCTGTGCTGAAAAGTGCATAAACAGGAATCCTGAATTTATTATATAGACCTCCTCGCATTATATAATCGAAGCAAAGGGAAACCAGCGATGGAGTTAGAGGTACGTAGACTAAAAAAGATGCTTGCAAATCAAATAATGGTTCTAGCATAGTCAATATTGCTGCCATGCTCAGCCAATGTAAGTCACAAGTCCAGAACAAAGCTGCTAATTGTAAATTCCCTGAGGCCCTTTTACTATGAAGGAAAAGTAGTCAAGGAAAAGCAAAGGGAGGGGTAAGGGAAGGGGTGGGGGGAGAGAGATGCATAAAGTACTTTAAAAGTTTTCAAATTAGGAATAATATGCTACAAAAAGTTTTCAAAACTAATGACTGCAATTCTATTTTAATCAGCTATTTAGCTGGTACCAACTGCTCTATCAACTAGTGTGAAAGTTTGGAGTTAATGGAACAGTGAAAGAAGCAGTGTGCTGGAGGCTCTTGGAGAGGGCACGGAAGGTAGGTTAATTTTGGGTTTAAAATTTGCAGTGATGGTTTGGATGGGGGGACCTCAGATTTTTTTTTACTAAGCATCCAGTCATTAACATTTATTGACTATTTTGTGCTGGATACTTTGGAGATAGTTTCTTACCAACAAAAGACTTAAGTGCCAACTACTGTAAGCACAAACTAGTGTGAGCAGAAGACAAAAGGGAAAGGTGACATTCCCAGAGGTTTGTGAGCAAAAACTGGCAAGTTACAGAAGCTGGGAGAGTAAAGACTTGAGTCAGGCAGGGGAAGAAGGTGTACAATGGGAAGTTGGCAGAATTTGAGATTGCTGTGTTGAACAGCAAGGTGGAAATAGATTATTAGTGATCGTGTAAATACATGTAATGACATCCTAAAGGCTTCAACTGAACCGTGTTGTAACTTTGTTTTTATTCAGGTCTTCAGTTTTGCATTTCTGCTCAGAAAAGGAACTGACCTTGTTAATGATGAAGGCATTGGAAAATTTTACCAGCCAGGAGGTTTCTCATTCTGGGTAAGATGTAATTGCAGAGGGATAGAATTCAGAGACTTGACTTAGTCAGCTGCCTAATTTTGCACACTGTGTTAGTAGACTGAAACTGAGCAGCTTGCTCTTACTGATTAGTTCATCAGAATTCTCCCCCTATTCATTTTGGTCTTGACCAAGTCATTGACATTTTTATATGATGCAGATTACATTCACTGTTGGCTGTGAGGAGGCAGATCTTGTAAACTCTTTTCCTTCCCGTAAGTTTTTAATGTCCAAGACTGCCAGATTTAAAGCATTTCTCTGAGAACATGTGGTTTGACAAAGTTCACTAGTAGTTTTGGTATTTGGCAACTGTACAGCTGGTGCACTTTGATCCTCCCAGTGACAGCCACAAGGAGGTCAAGCAGAGAAAATGCTCTCAGTCTCACGCTTCCTTTGAAAAGTTGCAAGAGACTTCGTGATATTGTTGGCTGATCCCCACACGTCAAAGTACCAGGACCAGTAGTGTCTGGAATCCTGCCTGGTGTCTTTTCTCCCCTCCACATTTCTCTGTCATCTCTTACTCATCTAGCTTGTTTCACTTAACAGATTTTACTAAAAAGAAGTGATGTTAGCACAAAAATAACTGGGTATTTATGTGGTTCAGTGTTGAGTATACATTTTTTTAAAAAAGATTTAGTTGACTTTTAAATGGCTTCCTTGCATTAGTGTAATAAAATATGTATCATTCTGCAAATTATTGCACCAGACTTGCCATACTGAAATTTCCAGACTGAAATACTAGTGCACACTGCATATTTAAATTCAAAACTAATTTCATATAAAAATAAAACCCTGCATATTACCAAAAAACAATGAGGGGACTTGGAAATGTAAGGTTGTAATCTTTGTTTTTACGGCAAGTTTATTTTTTGGTGGGACTAGGGTCTGAACTCAGGGCTTCACACTTACAAAGCAGGTACTCTACCACTTGAGCCACACCTCCAGTCCCTTTGGCTCTGGTTATTTTGGAGATGGGGTTTTGCTAACTGTTTACTTTAGCTGGCCTTGAACCTTGATCCTCCCAATTTCAGCCTCCTAAGTAACTAGTGTTACAGGTGCGATTTTACTTCTTGCAGTCTCATTAACTCACTAGTTATTGCACGGAAACTTTCCAAGTATAAGAAAGAAAGACTCTATCTTACACATACTTTATTTACATGATTGAGAACTTTCTTACATGAGGGGATCCTGGCGGTTTCTGATTTTGGGAGTTGTGTTTAAAGGTTTCCTATGCTCAGCTGCTGCTGTTGCTGTTGGCTTGTTTCCTTTCAGGATCAAGGTGGGTGCTTTCATATAAAATCTTATTTTTAATTCCTTCTCTGGCAATTCTTTCCTGGATCCTTTGCTTTGCATAGTTATACCTACAATGGAGCCTTGTAAAAAAAAATTGAGTGAATTGCTAAATGTATAGAGTTGCTGTAGAAATTAATTTGATGAATTTAACTTTATAATCACAATTTAAAAATGTTTACAGATGATTAAAATCAAGTAATAGAGTGCTGTTTTTTCCTTACTCATCAAAGTGTCTACATAAAAGGATTTCTATCACTGCAGCTTAGTGGTTCTTTGCCTGGTGTACAAGCTAAGTAGACCCATCTAGCGGCAATGTTGGGTTTGGCTTATCCTCAAAGATATTTGAGGTTCATTCATGTTTTACGTACTCAAGGTACTAACTTCAGACACAGTAAAACAGGGATGAATAACCATTAGGGTGAACAGTTGAGGTCTTCCTATAAAGCATAGAAAATACAAGTTCTTGTTACTCTGTCTGTGGTCACTTATCTAAACATTCAGTGAATGCCAATAGGTAGATAATTGATACATACTTAAAGGCAAAGGCATTCCAGCAACATTGCTTTGTAAGAGATTACCATTGAAGTCTGTAAAAATGAAGATTCTTCATTAAGTTTAGGAATCTCCAAAAGAAGGTGTGCTTCTGAATTAGGTAACACGTTACAATGTCCAGGATGGGCATTCTGGAACACTTAACAAACGTACCAGCATCCTAAAGTCACCAAGATAAATCCTCCTACTCCAACATCACATGATCTTCTAATTCTACCTGTCAAAAATAAGCATAACCACTACAATTAGAATTTAGTTATATATTAAGTGTTTTTATACACAGAATAAACACATACTACAAATACTCACTGGTTAACAAAAAATGTCCAAGTCCAGCCACCACAGATCCTAGTGAGCCATACAATAGTGAGTCCCGCGCACAGGGAATGTTCTCAACATCTAAAATTCCTAGGAGCTTGAAGGTCTAGGATAGAACAAGACAAAAAGGAACCTAGATTGAACAAAATATTTTTAGTTAAGGGTGATTTGGCAAAGATTACAAGCACATTCTTACCCGTTACATTTGAGGATTAAACTAGAGTATTTGTGCTATTTATTCAGCAGCCTTGAATGAGTTGACATCTTTGATTATTCTGTTGTAGTCTGAATCTTTAAATTGGAAATCCTAAAAATTTTGATCAGAAAACTATGCAGCAGTAGTAGTATGCTTTTGTTGGAATAATTACATTCATTATATCTTGTGAGCTCTTGAGACTTCCTTGCGAACTAAAAATTCCAACAGATTGGGAGGTATAAATGAGAAAAGCCACGTTACTCGAACCCGTTTTGCACATGACATTTGAATAGTGCTAAGTGAAAATTCCAAACAAAGACTTATTTTCAGATATTCTTGGTGTTAACTAGGTGAACATCACTGTTACAAGAATAAGCATTTCATGTTAATATGAACATGGACAGTACCTCTTCCAGTCTCAGTTTCCTTGACTGAAATGAGGTTCACTTCGAATTCAGTTCACAGAACTTGGTAGTCACAGATGTGGGAAAATCTGGGAATCCAGAAAGCTGGATTTAAGTGCTAAAATGACATCTTTCTAGTCTACATTGGAATCATGGACTTGTTTTCTCTAGTATGTTTATATGGATGTCTGTCACTCTTACCACTATTTTATGGCTTTAGGGAGGGCAGGAAAGACAGCATTCCTGTTAAAAGTCGCAGAAGACTGGGTTTCACCTCAGTTAAACCTCCCCCCCCACCCCAGTCTTAGAAGGGCTGGGGATGTAAGCTCAGTGGTAAGAGTACTTGCTAGCACATCCAGGACCCTGGCTTCTATTCCTAGTACCACAAAAACAAGTATTAGGAAACTTAGATGATACTATCGATTGAGTGAAGTGGTGATGACTGGGGAAAGAACAGTAAAAAGGCAAGTCAGATTAAAGGCTGAGAAACAAGATGACACAAATGTATTTTCATTCATGTTTTTGCTTCACTGGCTTAAGTATCTGCTGGAAGATAACGTGACGTGGTTCGTATTAAAAGTAAAAATTGGGACTGGTGGAGTGACTCAAGTGGTAAAGCGCCTCTAGCAAGCATAAGGCCCCAAGTTCAAACTCCAGTACTACCAAAACAATTTTTTAAAGTAAAAAAATCCTCCAGTGTATATATTTTTAAATAAAGTAAAAATGATTTAGATGTTTGTTTCCATTTTTTGTTTGCCTTTTCTGTCTCCCTGTCCCCACACACCTAACAAGATTACTCCATGAACACAGTGGGTGCTTCTTGTGGTTGCAGTTTTTAAGAGCTGCCTGCACTGCCAATCTTGACATTGGCTGAGGGTGGGCTCAAAGCCAAGAGGAATGGGGTGGGGTCACTGCTATGCTGATAGGGAATGCTAGGTTCCCCTGGAAACTAGATGCTGGTGCCCAAGCCAGAAGAGCAGCAGGTTGTGCTGTAGGAGAGGATAGGATGCTATGATAAAAGACTAAGTTGACCAGAGGATGTAAGCTTTTGATCTACTCTCCATTTTTTAAAAAGCACAAGTCCCTTCAACTTTTGTGGACTTCAATCAGACAAAATATAAATGTAAGTGCCAGTTCCTATCAAATGCCCTGAAACTTACTTGTCAAATACCTGAAGTGGTGCTAAAATCAGCCACTAGGTATCTGAGGTTTTAAGAGATTTAAGCTCTACCTTCTGACAGACTGATTGAGATCTGGGGTGGGTCACTGGAATCTGTTCAGAAAATGCTGGGTGTTATCTGATGACTGTCAGGTTGGAGAAATACTGCTTTAGCATCACTTTAAAAAGCTAGGAATAGTGGGATAATCTTGGCTACTTTAAAGACAAAACTAAGCGGGAGTGCCAGAGATGGTGTTGCTAAACATTAAACTATGAGATTGAGAAACCCAGGCCTACTAATTTTAAGGGTAATACCAGGCCCCTTGCACGCCTGACAGTTCTCAAGTTCTCTGGTTAACAGCTCACATTAAAAGGTTGGTAACACCAGGAAAAGTGGAGATGAAGTCCTGCGCCACTTCACTGTATGGAAATGTCACTAAAGTGGATTAAAGACTGAAAAAAAACCACAACTTTGATATATAATTTAAAAGCAGGTACTCATTCAGTGAGAAAACTGCAATGAGCTGGCTAGCCTTCATACTGACAGTGCTTTTTAAGATGCTGGGACACGGATGGTCTGAAAACACTACAAGATAGATGCACTTCACATTCCCTTAAATAGTGTTCAGTTACTGTGGGGTGAATTCTCGGCCTCCAAGTGCTCCACTAGAGCCAGCCCCAGGAGTTTGCTGATTTTAACAATCGTTTTCTCTGAGTTGTAACGGAATGGTCACTGACATTCTGGCACCACCACATTCAAACCCTTAGAGATTAAGGAAACCTTAATCACCTAGTGTTAACAAAAGCTTAAGAGATTTCTAGATCAAGCTGGGGTACCTGCATCTGTGCCCCTACTTCCACGTTCTGTGTTCTGCTTTGTACAGGGTGACCTGGACTGTCTTAAAACTTCAGATGTGCTCGACTGCCCTCCTACTCAAGGACTTCGCTATCACTTTGTTTTGTGTGAGTTTATTCGTTTTAAATCAGAACACTTCCTACCCAACTACCATCCCATTTTTCTACTCCCTTTTTATGGCCAAACGCTTCCCACTCTTCCTTTACCTCACATCAGTGATCCACTTAGCCCCACACTCCTGGGAAACATCCACTATGCAAACTTCACTGCACATCCCAGTGTGGGACACAGATTGCCATCTGTTTGTCTTCAGATAATGTGTGCTGGTTTTCTACGTCACCAGCCGTTGCTGTTTTGCAGACTGTGAAGCAATCCTTTCTCAAATCTCTAAAGACTTTCAGTTAAATGCCATTTATGTAATGGTGACTTCAAGTTTATGAATCAAACCCTAGTCTCCCAAGCCTGAGTCTCACTCACCTGCCTGTTGACTCCTTTTATATGCTTAATAAGAACCTTGAATTTACATTTTGAAGCAGTTATTTTACCTCCAAACCTATGCTGTGGAGCCCAAACTGGCCTAGGACTAGCGGTCCTCTGCTTCAGCCTTGTTAGTGCTGGGATTACAGACATGCTGGTTTATCGAACCTTCCTCTTAATGGCATCTCAACCACATTTCAGGCCAGAAAGCTGAGTCATTTCTGATTCCTTTTATCCCTTCATCAAATCCAAGTCTGGAAGGATCAAAATACATCCTCCACCAAAACACTTTCATTGATTTCTGCTATTGCAACCAAACTGCCATTGGTTAACAGCAGCTTAGATTTTTTATTCCACTCCTAAAGATGTATCAGGTACCTATCGTTCTTTTTGAAACACTTTACATGGCCTTTGATTATACTCTGAATGATATGTACTCACTGCCTCTGCTATGAAGGCCCCTCATGGCCTGGCCTAAGCCTCCTTTTGTATCCCACTCCCTTGTCTTCTAGACACACTGGCCTTACCATTACTCTAACAAGCCTACGTTTTACTACCTGGCACGTGGCTGGCTCAGTAATGACGCATTCTCCCACGTAGAATGTAAGCTTCATTAAGAAAGTATTTTGCCTGTTTTGGAGCAAGGGTGTGTCCCTAATTAGTGCCTAATAGTAGGTACTCTGGAAATATCTTTTGAATGAAATGTAAATTTAGCTGTTAGTTTCCTATTTTTCTTTAAACAAAGGTGGAGGAAAGGCCGTTTTTTTAAGGGCTAGTTCTATCTAGTATGCTAGCTCGGTAACTCCCCTCTTTGCCTTAGGTTTCCTAACTGCCATTTTTAAAACTTTAATAGCTATGACAAATGTTCACAAATATTTACTGAGCTAATAAGGCGACTGGATATGCTTATCGAATATGGGCAAAATAACATTGTACACCAGGAGTTTACAACATCGCTGAAAATACGAGCCATACACAAGGAGGAAAACAAGTGCATAAAAATTTGGTAAAGGTCGCTCCCAAGTTGGTGTGTGGTTCAGTGCTACACGGGCAGCAGCAGCTTTTCGGAGGCACCAGGAGCAAAGGTTTATTTCTGGCCGTCCTGAGGTTTGAACTCGGCCCTTCCGCGAGAGCAGTCCCCAGCAGGTGAGAAAATCTGAACACTGCTTTCCCGGGTTGTATTGGAACGGATTACTGACAAGTTCTAAACAAATAACTGCTTCCTTTTCTCACATTGTACTGGGCTGTTGATCAGACTTAACACGTTAATTTTATTTCTAAATTTTGACGGGCACTACTTTTTCATGAACAATTTGCTTGTAGGCCGTATTTTCCCGACAAATCTGTCTTAAGGCCTGTAGCCATTCCTCATTTCAGCTATTTTTTGTTTTGTTTTGTTATTGGTGAGCCAAATAGGTCCATAGTGATCACTTTTTCTTTTCGATTTCCAGTGGATTAAAACCACCCTGTAAGCAATCGCGGCTATCGGTGTCCCACAAGGGACAAACATCAAGATCCCAGTATTCACCATAAAACTGACCTAGAATTTAGGGGCTTGAAATTCTGATGCAACTTAAAACATGCAAGTCTCGAACAAAACACTAACTTATGTTCCAGTGGTCTGTATGTGAGTGCATAAAAACAAAGCCACCGATGGTGTATGAACTGGCAAAAACCGTTTCGGTATTAAATACGGGAAATTCCATCCGGGCTTTTGTTCGTGGAGAGCCGAACTTAGGGTGACCGCTAAAGACCCTGCGGGCACGGCGGGTCACGTGTCCAGGTCACGGCTCTGCTCCGCGCGGCCTCCTCCCCCCGTGGGCGCCCACCTTCGCCCTGCGGCCCCCGCAACCCCCCCCCGGCCCCGGCCCGCCCGCCGCCCCGTTACCTTCCCCTTCCCGGCGTCGCCGGGCTCCGGCGCGGCGGCCATGCGGACGAGTGAGCGCAAGCGCCTCGAGCCCCGCCCTGCGCCGGCCCAGGCCGCCTCCGCCCCGCCCGCGCCGCCCGCCCCGCCCGCGCCGGCCGCCATCTTAGGCAGCGCTCCTGCAGCCTCGCGAGGCGGCGGCGCCACCTTTGTTCAGGGGAACGGGTCGCACTGTCTTCCCAGCGCGGCAGCCGACACTGGCCGAGGCGCGGGAGGAGGCGGGCGGAGGAGCGACCCCGACCCAAGCTCCGAGCCGGCCGAATCCAGCTGGCTCCACGAGGCCGTGCGCATCCCCAGCCCCTCCTCCGCCCCAACCGCCATTTCTAACCGTCGCGCGCGCGCTCGTGTAGGGCGCCGGGCGCGCGCCGGGGGGGCGGGGCTGCAGCGGAGGGCGCGCGTCCGCGCCGCTTTGTCCTCTGGGCGGGCGGCCCGCGGCCGGAAGTCGTCGGGGCCTGCTGGGCGGCCCTCGTGCCCTCCGTGTCCTTTGTCCTTCCGGCCCCTGCACGGCCCTTGGCACCCCGCCCCCCGCCCTCCCGGCTGCCCGCCTCCAGCCACTGGCGCGCCCCCGCCACCTCCCTTTCTCCCTGGCTCCGTGTCGCGGCCTAATGGCTTTAGAATAGCACGCCCGGTCCTGAAGGAGACGGGGACAAAATGGAGGGAGCGGCTCGCTGGGGGGGGGCGGGGCTGGCGCGCGGCGTCCGGAGCCGCCCTCGCCGCGTGGGACGTCGCCGTGGTCCGGCAGTCGGTGCATCCGCCGCGATGGCCTCCCGTGTGGGGAGCCGCGCAGAGGCGCCACGCCGCGGCCACCCCCTCTAATCCGGGACGCGCAGATCGGGGGCGGGGACACAGCGTGGCCTGCGCCGCTGTGTGGGACAGGACAGTGACCGCGTCCTGGCAGGCCCGCCGGGATCAGAAGGCCGTCCTGTCGACCTTTGATTGCGACTGAAAAAAGGCTGAGCTTGTGGCCTGGTTTAAAAGACTCTGCTACGAATCCTTGAGTTTTTAGTATCGCGAAAGCTGAATGCCTAGCCTGCGTTCCGCAGCGTTTTGTTGTTCAGCCGGTAGCGGGGAAAGCAATGATGCGTTCTCCCCTTTCCCGCACCCCTCTTAAACCTAAGCACAGTAGTTTGGTGGGCTTTTTCCAGTTTCCCCTGTTCTCGATCAAAATCCGCAACCGTTAGCCACAGCGTTGGCCGCGTGGGTGCTGGTCAGCGCCTGCCTGGCCTGCATGAGGCCTGGGTTCGATCCCAGCACCGCCAGAACAGCAGGGAGCCCACAGGCGGTGCGGGCCCCACGTCCTACGCGTCTGTGTTGCCATCGGCCTTCGTCTCACGGAGGCCCCAGCTGTACACACGTCAATGGCTGCTCAGTGGCTCACGTGTCTGCTGAAGTCTTGATCTTTTTTCACTAACCCTCACAGTCCCTCGGTGAGCGTCTTTCTAGGTCGTCTTGGTGGCAAGTTCGGGCTTCCTGTCGCGTAGGTGTCCTGCAGTGGACTTAAGGCGCACACACAATACAAGTGTTAGTAAGGACCGCTCATTGACCCCCAGGGTGCTTCTCTTTTTCAAACATTTTAACTTTTTCCTGAGCATCAGGTTAGCCAGGGGATGTCATTTTAGCGGTGTTTGACGTCACGCCTTGCGCACGCGGGCTTACCTGGCTGGAACAGGACACGCTGCCATGCAGCCTGCTTCTGCAAAACGGCAGGGGCGCAGGGACTGTGTCTTCACTGAAGTTTGTGTCGAAGACAGTGAAGCTGTTAATGTAAACTTTGAAAAATCCAAACTGACGTTCAGTTGTCTTGGAGGAAGTGACAATTTTAAACATTTAAATGAAACTGAGCTTTTTCACTGTATTGATCCAAACGATTCCAAGCTTAAAAGAACGGACAGATCAATTTTATGTTGTTTAGGAAAAGGAGAATCTGGCCAGTCATGGCCTAGGTTAACAAAAGAAAGGGCAAAGCTTAATTGGCTTAGTGTGGGTTTCAGTAATTGGAAAGAGTGGGAAGATGAGTCGGATGAAGACATGCCTAATGTTGGTCGTTTCTCTGAGATGATGAACAGCATGGGTGGTGGATGAGGACGTAGATTTACCAGAAGTAGATGGAGCAGATGATTCACAAGACAGTGATGATGAAAAAATGCCAGATCTGGAGTAAGAAGTATTGTCATCACCTGGATATTGAGAAAGAAAGATAACCTGCAAGATTTCATAATTGAGAAAATTCCTGAGTTGATAGCTCTAAAGGCAAATGCTGTTTTTGCCTCCGATAACCCATTTTTCAACCTGTTTGTTTTGTTTTGTTTTAAAGGCTTCACTAAGGGTTGATAATGTACCACTGTATGGGGCAGTTTTAAGTCAGCTAAGGCAATATCTTTCTGCGTGATCATATCCCAGCTGAGGATCCTAGGCAATTGATACAGCAGTTGTGATAAAGATATTTCACTAAGTCTCCTTTACTTCATAACATAGTTACTGACATGATAGGAAGCTCTCAGCTCAGGGAAAGATAACTAAATGTTAGATTCTAGAACACAGACTCAAAAGTGGCTCAAACAATTGGCTGATACTTTAAACTGGTAACTTGGCCATTCCTCCGGTGTATCCTTCATGATTGTTCCACTGAAGTTTATTTTTCAAAAAAATTTCCTTCACATTATTGTACATAAGTGGTCACTTGTCAGTGTTCCAGATGTATCTTAGCTAAAACTAGTGAATGCCCTAACTTAGATGGTTTTTGAAGCCGATACATTTGCTGTTGTTTGGCCCTTAAGCTTTTCCATCTTAGCATGGAGGACGAAGAAAGCTGTACATTGTTGCTTGAGAGTCTGTACAATTTAGACCAGATTTGTATTTGCACTGTCAGTATGGCAAATGGGTGAGAAAATGTTAATACACTGTTGGATTTTTTTAATTTCTTTTTTGATTCAGCTTATAATCGGGCTGAAAAACCTCAATTTATGTTCATGACAGTGAGGATGTTTTTAAATGTCTACATTCTTTCTAATAAACTGTTGGAAGATTAAAAAAAAAAACACGCTCGGAATTTTGGAAGTAATCTTCCATATGTTTCCTTTTCCACTCATCGTTTTCATGGTCTCGTCCTTTTCTGTAAAACATCCATTTTGGTTCCATTAAGCAAGTCTACTTTTTTTCTATTTCATTTATATTTTACATTTTTTCTACCTAGCATCTGTTTTGTGGCGTTTTTTCTAGTTTTTTACACTGACTACTCAACTCGCTCCTTCTCCATCTTTGTCAGTTCTTAATGAATGTATTCAAGTCTATGGGATTTCTCAGAATCCTTTTGTCATACCTTTAAAAGTTGGATGGGGATGTTCCCATTGCTACTCTTTCCTTAATTTTCCATGATTTCAGCTTCGGTTTGTTTCCAAGTGCATAGGTTTGGAAATAACTTTCTTACTTATTATCATTATTTTTAGAGGCGGACAGCGCAGGAGGACCTCATCGCCGCAGCTCGGGCCTGTGTCCTGCGCAGACGCAGCACACGCAGGACGGCTTGGAAGGCAGAGTGTCGCCGTCGCCCCCAAGGAAGCTGCACTTGGCATGGCCTCTGCAGCCTGGCAGGGGACGTCCTCCGTCCAGGTTGGGGGCGGGGGAAGCGGGGCGCTCAGCGCAGCACCTCCGCCCTAGACCATGACTTTGTTATGTCTGCTTTTTAAAAGCCAGGCCTGGTGGTACACAGCTATAATCCCAGCACTGGGGAGGCTGAGACAGGAGACAGAAAGTTCAAGGTCAGGCTGGGCTACAAAGCAAGCCCCTGTCCCCATTTTGGTTTTCTTACCTTTTTTGTTGTTTTATTTTCCTTTACACTGTAGCCTGTGTGTTAGGGTGAACAAAAGGGAAGTCATGTTAGGATGGACCCCCACCCTGGCCTCAAGGGAATGGTGAATTCTCACCTTGGGGAGCTGGCTGAGCACCCATCTCCCCTGGGTTCCCTAGCAAGCATTGATCCTGGAAAAACTCTCCCGCCCCGCGAAACTTCCCCTGCAGACCCTTCCCCAACCTGCCCCGCGTCTGAGCGGCCTGGGCCCGCCTGGCCCCTGTAGTCTGCGCTTGGCGTTCAGTGCCTGCGTGAATGTGGGTTTTACCTGAGGGGGATTTTGCACACGTTTCATGGGTATTTGGAGAAAAATGTGCGTCCTCTCTGACAGCACTGAGTCCAGCTCGTTAAGGATGTGCGTGTAATTATGCATTTAAAGGCATGAAGGACAACGGAATTGCACTGGGGCTGGGCCCGGTGGAACAGCACTGCCTGCCACACACAGGCCCGGGTTCCGTGCCCAGCACCGCAAAGGAAAAATAGCACTTGTATACACAGTTACAAATTTACATGCTATATAATACACACAATACATATTTGTACAAGTGTGTAATCTTTTTGCTTTATACTATATGCCATGTGTCATATATTAACACATAAATATATAATAAATGTGTTACATATATTTATAATAAACATAAGATATATAAATACTATAGAAATAATAGCAGTAAATAACCTTATTGTCCTTCAATATCTTTTTTTTCTTCAGTTTTTTTTGAGACAAAATCTTGCTCTGTGGCCCAGGCTCACCTTGACCTTGAAAGCCTCCTGCCTCAGGCTCCCAAGAGCTGGGATTACAGGCTCACACCACCAAGCCCCCAAATCTTACTGCAAGCAACAGACCCCAACTCTGGTTAGCTTAAACAAGAAAGAAGTGTGACACTCAGTGAACGAAGTGAAAGTGAAAAAGCAGGTCTTGTCAGGACAGCCCGCAGGGCAGGTGCGGTCTGTGGATCACATGAACTTCAGGACGACATTGGCTCTGTGGGTCACGGTGGCCCACCTCGGTCTCATTCCTGCCACTGGGCCTTGTTTCCTACCACACCACCATCTTCCTGGGAGACTTGAGTGTATTTGCCACCAGGCGCTGTGCTCAGGGCCCCTGAGTGTGCTAGAGGTGGCTGAAGTCCCTGACACTGCCTGGTGTGTCCACTGTCACACCTGCCCATGAGGGGTGTCCACCATCAGAAGCCCCATTCTGAGAGCTGGAGTGGCAGGCGGGGTGAGCTGTGGGATGATGGGGGGGAGGAATGGGAATCGCTTTGGGGCTGGTGAGGTTCTCTCTGCTCAGGTGGAGTTTTCTATACTCAGGTCTGCTGGGTTCAGAAGTCAATCTGATCTCCACTCTTTCGTATGGAAGCAGGATAGGTAGATGAGGGGACAGAGAAATTGAAAAGAATAAATGCTAAAAGAGCCGGACTCAGAAATCAAAACTAAAAACTTAAACTCCACCTCCCAAGGCCAACTCCACCTGGTGCCTGGCGATGTGCCCTCTTGTTCCCACATTAGCTTCTGCGTGGTGTGACATGGCCAAGACCGCCCTCCCCAGGGCTGCGTGGACGAGGGTGTTACGCCCTTGAACCTCCAAAACTGCTCTCCCTCAGTAGCTCAGCTTCGAACTGAGCTCTTCCTGCTCTGCCTCCCAAGTGTCACCAGGCCTGAAGCTGAGAGCCTACTCTGCCTCTCTGCCATAGAGGGAATCATGAGCGTCCCCAAGGCCTGTGTGTTGAACACTTGGTTGCCAGACTGTTGGAAGGTGGTGGAACCTTACAGAGTGGGGCAGGAGGAAGTGGGCCACTGGGGGACATGGTGCTGGAGGGGATATTGGGACCCTTGCCCTTTCCCATTTCTCTCTTTTTTAGTCTCGATGTAGGTGACTTCCTCTGGCATATGCTCCACTCTAAAGTGACAAACCAAATGATCGTGCACCTAAAACTTCCAAAACCATGAGCCTAAATTAAAATTCCCTCCAAAACAAGCCCAAAACAAAACAGAAAAACCAGGAAATAAAAACTGAAAATCAGAACAGCAAGCCCCCTTCCCATCACCTCCTTTTAAATGTGTTAAGTTACAAGAAGGGAGCCATAGAGGGCCTTCTCTGAGATGTTAGCCAGACAGAAAACGAGAGGCCGTGTCACACAAGTGTCCCTGTGTTCTGGGTAGCCCTAGCCATATCTTCATGTTTTAAAACAAACAGGCCCCACCTTGGCCGTGTTTGGGGTAAAAGAGTAACCCTGAACCAGTTTTTGTAATGATGAAGGCTTGCTAGAGGACATGACAGGTGTATTCTTGCAGCTCAGAAGTATACACAACCTACTGAAAAGTCGCCATTTTCTGTGCTCAGCAAGCAGTAATGAATTTCAGGCAGGAGATGCTTGTTCGCCGCTTGTTTCTGTGCTCCCCACTTTATCCTGTCACACCATAGATCCTTGCTAAACTTGCCTGTCAGACTCTTTTTTTT